TACCTGCAGAAGTGTTCTGGTCTATTTCTCAGCCATCCCCCACCTTCTAACGAACCCTGGAAGTCTTGTAGGGCCCAGAGAAAGCTGCTCTGCGGCCTCCAAACCTATAATTTGGTTTTCCAACCCACAAGCAGGGAGGTCTGTGGGGGCCAGAGGAAGCCAACTTTCTGCCGCCCCTCCCTGGCTGAACGTGGGCACACACTCACACACAAACACACACACACACACAGTCATAAAAACTCACAGGCTCGTAACGGCTCTAGCGAGATATAATTTACACACCATAAAAGTTCCCCCGTTGAAAATGCACAGTCCGAGGGTTTTGGTATATTTCACAGAATTGTGTAATCATCCCCATAATCTAATTTTAGAACATTTTCATCATCCTCAAAAGAAACCTGGAATCATTAGCAGTCACTCCCTGTTCCCCAGCCCTGAGCAACCACGAATGTGCTTTCTGTCCATAGATCTGCCTGCTCCGGACGTTTCTTGTAAATGGAATCAGGCAGATGTAATCTTCCATATCCGCCGTCCTTCCCTCAGCAAGGTGCTTCCACGGCTCGCCCATGTTGTAGCTTATGTCAGCACTGCATTCCTTTTGATGGCCGAATAATATTCCACTGCATGAATAGACCACACTTTGTTTATCCTTCTGTCAGTCGGTGGATGTTGGGGTGGTTTCTACTTTTCGGCTATTATGCATAGTGCTGCTAGAACATTCACTTATGGGTTCTTGTGTGAATGTATGATCATTTGTCTTGGATTCATACCCAGGAATAGAATTACGGGGTTCTATGATAACTTAAATTGCCAAACTGGTTTTCAAAGTGGCTGGACCATTTTACATTCCTGCCGATAGTGTGTAAGGGTTCCAATTTCCCCACGTCCTCATTACCACTTGCTATTGTCTGCCATTTTTATTGTAGCTATTTAGGAGGTGCAAAGTGATATCGCACTGTGGGTTTGATTTGCATTTCCCTTATTGCTAAGTGACAGTGAGCATCTTTTTATGCACTTACTGGCCATGTGTATATTTTCTTTTTTGTTTTTGTTGTTGTTGTTGTTTTTGTTTTTTGAGACAGAGTCTCGCTCTGTCACTCTGGCATCACGGTGCAGGGTGCAGTGGCATCAGCATAGATCTCTGCAACCTCAAACTCCTAGGCTCAAGCGATCCTCCTGCCTCAGCTTCCGGAGTAGCTGGGACTACAGGCACGCACCCCCACATCTGACTAAGTTTTCTATTTTTTGTAGAGATGGGGTCTCGCTCTTGCTCAGGCTGGTCTCAAACTCCTGACCTTAAGTGATCCTCCCCGCCTTGGCCTCCCAGAGTGCTGGGACTACAGGCGTGAGCCACTGCGCCGGAACTGTGTCTTCTTTGAAGAAGTGTCTGTTCAGGCCGGGCGCGGTGGCTCACGCCTGTAATCCTAGGTCTCTGTGAGGCCGAGGCGGGCGGATTATTTGAGCTCAGGAGTTCGAAACCAGCCTGAGCAAGAGCAAGACCCCGTCTCTACTAAAAAATAGAAAGAAATTAATCGGACAACTAAAAATATATAGAAAAAATTAGCCGGGCATGGTGGTGCATGCCTGTAGTCCCAGCTACTCGGGAGGCTGAGGCAGGAGGATCGCTTGAGCCCAGGAGTTTGAGGTTGCCGTGAGCTAGGCTAACGCCACGGCACTCACTCTAGCCAGGGCAACAGAGTGAGACTCTGTCTCAAAAAAAAAAAAAAGAAATGTCTGTTCAAATCCTTTGCCCATTTTTTCCGCCTGGGTTATATTTGTCTTTGTATTATTGGCCTGTAAGAGTTCGTTGTATGTTCTGGATAGATGTCCCTTATCAGATATTGAATTTGCAAGTATTTTCCCTCATTCTATGGTTGTAATTTCACTTTCTTGATGGTGTCCTTAAAGTGCAAAAGTTTTAAATTTTTATTAAGTCCAACTTATCGGTCTTTTTTCCCCACCCCACACGTCTTTGCTTTTCCTAGACTTGGACTCATCAGTTACTCCCTTCCCAATCTTCTCTTCTCCTGCCAGGGCGCCCTCTGTATATGCTCAGCTTCCTGCACTTCTGTTTTCCCAAGAAGGGCTGAGGGCTTGATTTGCTCCCCGGAATCTTCCCTCCACTTCTGCCTTGCTGGCATGGGGGGTCCTTCTCCCCGACATCAACATCGACATAGATACAGGGAGGGGGTGGCCGGGAGTCAAGGGAGGCCACTCCAGGTCGGGTGGCGAGGGGGGAAGCTCCGTGAATACACAGCATCTTTTTCAGGAAGCAGATGGGGATGGGTGATTGCACACGACAGAAACATCTGTGCATCCTCAGACAAGCTATTTTAGCCTCGTGACTTCACCTAAGAAATGAAGGGAAGAGATTGGACAATCCAGAGCAGGGCCGCTGAACCTGGCTTCTAGAACTCCCGTGAAATTGTGCCATCGTAGGCACGATGTTGGGTGCAGTGCATTTTTCTGGGGCGGGAGTCCACGGCCTTCGTCTGACCTTCAAAAGGATGTGCTAAGTGAGAAAGGTTCAGGACAGCGATCTGTAGGAGGCCTGCGCGTCCCCAAAATGTCCAAGTCCTGTGGTAGCATTTCCTCCTGCCCCTAGGGAGGGTGCAGACCCAGACCTGCTTTCCTTCCCGAGAGGGACCAGGAGGCCTTGGCTGCCCGTGGGCCCACAGGGACCTCAGCGCTCAGCCCAGGGCGCGGTCCAGGAGAGGACCCAGGACTAGCCAACTCCCGAGGGCACCCCGAGGGGCTGCCTTGGTCACCCCTGAGGCAACTCTCCAGGTGGTGCGAGCCAAGGGGGAGAGAATGGCAGCACTCGGTGGGAGCTCCGCTCTCCGAGGCCGGCATTGCTGGGCTGCAGGAAGTGGAGGGCAGGGGGAGGCGCAGCCTGCGTGCAGCCCAGCTCCCATCTGCAGAACATCAGTGGGCAGGCGGATGGGGGCTTTCGAGGGGGCCTGGGGAGGAAATGAGAATAAACACAGTGAGCACAGAGGGAAGGGGGGCTGCAGCCTAAGCCCCTTGGCAGCCCATGAAGGGAAGTGACACAATGAGGAATGTGTTTCCCTCTGCCCGTCCCCTGCGTGGGGGTGGGAGGCAGAGCCCTGAGAATGGCCAGACCCCGACAGGGGCCAGGGGGCACATGCTGGAACAACATCGGAGGGGCGGGCTGTGAGGACGGGGGTCTGGGCAGCAAAAAGGGGGCCCAGGCAGGAAGGGCAGCCCTGGGCAGCCCGGGGGATACTTATCCTGTGTCGCCTCCCTCTGCGTGCAGCGGGTGTCTGCAGGTCCCAGTGCTTGCGCACTCCCTGAGCACGCAGGATGGAGGTCACCCCTCCTCTGGGGAGCTGGCCCCTTCTGGTGGCCTGACTTCTTTCTCAAGGGGACTCGGGGTGATGGAGGCCTCAAGTCCTTTGAGTCCTTCCTGTGAGAGGGAGCTGAGGTAGGAGGACCATGAGAAGGGCTGGGCGGGGTGTTTCTGTCCCCAGCTGGGACAGTGCACAAACAGGCCCCCTGGTGGGAGGCACCTCCTGTCCTGGACACCCATTTCCTCTCCTCCCAGCAGGGCCCTGGCTCAGTTAACCCCCTCCTGCCTGGAGCCCAGAGGTGTCCCTGCGGCTTTGGCAGGCAGAGCCAAGAGCCCTGCCTCGGTCTGGGCTGGGGGGCAGCAGGGCCTTGGAAAGCAGGGTGACCCCACATACCTCTGCCAGTCTCCTGCCTTCCTGCCACAGGTCCTTTGACATGTGGTTATCCCAGGAGTCACCCCCCCACCCCACCCCCCACGCCTCGCTTGCCCCCTGCCCCATAATCTGCTGGGTACTGGACAAGGGCAGGGAGGGTGTGGGAGCCCAGACAGCAAGCAGCCTCCCCGTCCAGCCTCCAGCTCAGGGTCCCAGCAGGAGAGATGCTCTGTGGGCCTCAGCCTATTCTGGTTTGGCTCAAGAAAGACCCAGGTGGCCTCTGAGAAGGGGGTGAATGACCGCCAGCCTTCTAGACACCTCTCCCTGGCTGTGCCCAGCACAGGACCGGGGGAGGATGAAGGCCAGTGGGCCAGCGCCTACCAGGGTCCTCAGTGGTCTTCCTGCCCCAGGAGCCCAGAGGCCTGTCGCGAGCAGGTGGTGGGCTGGGGCCAGGCGGGTAGCTGGTAGGTCCCCCGGTGAGCAGGAACTGTCCCTTCAGTACTGCCCATGGCGCAGGTGAGGAAGAGGGGCAGCGTTGCACTCGGGCATAGTTGGGTCCAAGCCACCAGACTAAGGGGCAGAAGCTACTGTAGGACCCACCTACAGTTCACCCCCAGGCAGGGCGGGGCTGGTGCCTCTGAGCCGTGGGGGGCCACAGCCATCTCTTGTCCTGTCTCAGCATTGTGAGCTGGGCTGAGGACCTGGAACCAGCCTTTGCCCCCCTGGGGTTCCTCCTCTGAACAAGGCATGAGGAGCTGGACGCAGGACTCACCCTGCCCTGGAGGGGAGAGGGCAGGGTTGGGCTGGCGTTCAGCCGGCTGCCAGACTGGTTTCCTCACTGCGCCTCCCCAGGCCGGCTGGAGATTTCTGCCTTAGAATAGCGACTTACAAAAGTCCTGACCACCGATTCCCAAATGCCTCCCAGGGCAGCCCCATGGGATCCTAGGGCGGGTCAGAGGCCAGGCGAGGTCAGGACGCGGCATCCGGACTCCCAGTTCAGTGCTCTCCCCACACCTTGTTCCCACCGCGCTCCCCACCCGCTCCGAGGCCCTTCTGACCCCGTCTCTTGGCCTCACCATTCTCTGCCATGTTTCTGACAAGAACCTGGTGACGGTGGCCAGGGAGGCCCAGGAGACCTGTCTGAGGGGGTCCTTAACCCCACCTCCCCCACCAGTGCTGAGGACAGCAGAGATTTAGCAGGAAATCGGGCCCCAAAGAAACCCAACAGCTGTGTGACAGCGAGGACACCGCACTCCAGGGGAGCAGGTGGCACCCAGAGGGGAGAGGTGCGAGGGCCTCCCCACTTGCCTCCCACAGGGACCTGAGGAACAATGTCATCAGCACGGTGCAGCCGGGGGCCTTCCTGGGCCTGGGGGAGCTCAAGCGCTTGTGAGTGGCATGTCCTGCCCCCCAGCCCCCAGCCTCCCATGAGCCCCAGAGAAAGCCCTGTGACTCCATGAGCAACGCCCCTCCTGCTCCTGCTCAGCCCCCTTCACCTTCCTCTCACCCCACCCACGGTGGAGGCTTCTCCACCCCCCCATCTTGGCTGGGGTCAAGGGTCAAGGGAGTGGCATCTCTAGCCCAGCTGCCTGCACCAGCCCCAGCCGTGCACGCATGCTGCCGTGTGGCCAGCCTGCTGAGGTTCCACGTGTCTGTCTAGAGATCTCTCCAACAACCGGATTGGCTGTCTCACCTCTGACACCTTCCAGGGCCTGCCCAGGCTGCTCCGACTGTGAGTGACCAGGTGGCAAGTGGGGAGCAGAGGCGAGGGAAGGAGGGCGTGGGGGGAGGAAGGCGGCCCCAAACCCTCACAGGTCCCTGAATTCTCTCCTCCCCACCTCCTCTGGCCCAGGGAGACCCTAAGATCCCGTGTCACTGTCCCCTGCCCCTGCAGAAACATATCTGGAAACATCTTCTCCAGTCTGCAGCCGGGGGTCTTCGACGAGCTGCCAGCCCTGAAGGTCGTGTGAGTATCTGTTCCCTGCCCGCGGACCCCAACATGCGCCCTTCCTCTGCCCAGGGGGAAGGCACACAGCACCGTGACCACCCTGGCCAGCCTCACGAGTGGGCAGACAGACAGTGCCTGGAATGCCACCGTGTTCGTCCCCGTGATTGCCGGGGTTGCGCGGAGCGGTGCCGCCCGCACCTCTTCCAGGGCCCCATCCCCCACCCCCCGAGCGCCCACACCCCTGGGACTCCTCTGCCACCCCACAGGGACTTCGGCACCGAGTTCCTGACCTGCGACTGCCACCTGCGCTGGCTGCTGCCCTGGGCCCGGAACCGCACCCTGCAGCTGTCGGAGCGCACGCTCTGCGCCTACCCCCGTGCCCTGCGCGCCCAGACCCTGGGCGGCCTCCAGGAGGCCCAGCTGCGCTGCGGTGAGCGAGTCCTCACCCCGCACACCTGCCAGGGCCCTGTCTGCGCCCTCAGACCTGTGCGCTGGGCCTGGTCTCCAGGGCATCCTCTTCCCTTGGTGCCACCGCCGTCCACCCTCCATCTGCTTCCTTGGGGACACTCGCTCGCTTGCTTTCAGCTGGGCCCGCCTCTTGGCGTAACACGTGCTGAGAAAGGAGCACTTTTCCTTGTCCCCAAACCGCCTGCTCCTCTCCTTTGCTCTCTACCCCTCTTCCCGCCCAGCTGGAGCAGGCGACAGGCAGGGGGGCCCCAGCCTGCCCCCCGGGTTCCCACACGTGCGTGTGGGCTCAGGCCTCACTGCTGCTGTGCCCCCCACAGAGGGGGCCCTGGAGCTGCACACCCACCACCTCATCCCGTCCCTGCGCCAAGTGGTGTTCCAGGGCGACCGGCTGCCCTTCCAGTGCTCCGCCAGCTACCTGGGCAACGACACCCGCATCCGCTGGTACCACAACCGGGCCCCCGTGGAGGGCGACGAGCAGGCGGGCGTGCTCCTGGCCGAGAGCCTCATCCACGACTGCACCTTCATCACCAGGTACAGCCTCCTGCCCCTGCTCGGCCACGGCACCCGCCCCGGAAGAGCCGTGCCCAGACACGTTCACGGAAGAGCCTATGTGTGTGGTCTCTGGAAATCCTGGACTAAGTCGAAAATGGTCTGACTAGAGGATATAAATTTAATACCTGACAGGGAAAAATGATTTTTGTCACTTCTGTGGCGCTTTTACCATGTGTATAGTGGCCGTCACCTGTGTCACCAGATCGAATCTCCGCAGTAGACCTGCGAAAGGCATTACCACTTCCATGGTAAAGACGGGGGATTTAGGCTCAAAAAAACATCGTAAGGCCAGTGAGAAGGAAGGAAGGAAGGGCCTGCGGCTTGGTGCCCCAGGATGGTGCTGAGGGCGGCGCCGGCCGGGCCCCCTACCTGCCTCACCAGCCGCCCCGCCTGCCACCCACAGCGAGCTGACCCTGTCTCACATCGGCGTGTGGGCCTCGGGCGAGTGGGAGTGCTCCGTGTCCACCGCCCAGGGCAACGCCAGCAGGAAGGTGGAGATCGTGGTGCTGGAGACCTCCGCCTCCTACTGCCCCGCCGAGCGCGTCGCCAACAACCGTGGGGACTTCAGGTTCGGCGCGATCCAACCGCCCCGGCCCACCCTTGCACCCAGGAGCACCGAGGTCCCCCACCTGCTCTCCTGGCTAAGTGCTAAAGATGGGGATGACACTTCCTGGTGTCTTGCAGCCCGGAGTCCTGCTGTTGCACTTAGAGAGGGCTTAACTCATGTATAAAGTCACCATTGGGCGTGTGCTTCCCAGTGCAAAAAGGCTTTTATTCGCTCCCTTACATTATGGTTTGCACAAGTTCACCTGCTAAGAGTAGCACATTTTAATATCCCAGTGACCCTCTCTGTTAGGCAGGGCAGGTGTCATTCTGCCCACTGGACAGCTGAGAATCCTGAGGCCCACGTGGATAAGTGACTTGCTTAGGGCCATAGCAGTAAGTGGCAGAACTTGGACCTGAGCTCAGGACTCTGAATCCCGCCCCCATCGGCTGTGACAGCACTGTCAGAACAAACACAGGGGTGGAAGGTGGAACTGGGACCCCTGGAAGTGTGGCCTGCTGCCCCTCCCATGGCCGCAAAGAGTCTGAGGTCACAGTCCTAAGGGCAGGGGAGGGGCTCTCGTCCTGAGGAGCCTGGGTCCTTGGCAACTTCTGCCTTTGCCCCCAGGTGGCCTCGAACTCTGGCTGGCATCACAGCCTACCAGTCCTGCCTGCAGTATCCCTTCACCTCGGTGCCCCTGAGCGGGGGTGCCCCGGGCACCCGAGCCTCCCGCCGGTGTGACCGAGCTGGCCGCTGGGAGCCGGGGGACTACTCCCACTGCCTGTACACCAACGACATCACCCGGGTGCTCTACACCTTCGTGCTGGTGAGCAAAGGGGCAGAGTGCCCCGTCAGCTCTGGCGCTGGGGCACGGGGAAGGGACGAAGCCCAGAACCCCGCGGGCACGGCGCTGCTCGGCTGTGCTTCCACCCGCCGGGTGTGACAGTGAGGGGCTGGCACCTGTCCCCGTGCTCTCCTCTAGCTTTCCTCTTCCAGGGGACTCAGACCCACCAAGGCCACACTGGGGGAGGGAACCAGGCCCTCCTCCCATCCAGCCATCCCGTGCCTCTGTACCCACCAGCACACAAAGGCAGAGTCCCGCTGTCCTCAGGCAGGGGTGCTGGCGGCAGCGGCCTTGGCTGTGATGATGCCAGCCCCCTATGCCCTCCTAGCTTGCTTAGCCCCTGGAGGTGGGCTGGACCCCTCCCCAGGCACTGTCACCCTGAGCACCCGCACAGAGGAGAGGGCCCCAGGGGCGGCTGGGGTGGAAGGAACAAGGCACGATGACCCTCTTTCTTCCCCCAGATGCCCATCAACGCCTCCAACGCGCTGACTCTGGCTCACCAGCTGCGCGTGTACACAGCCGAGGCCGCCAGCTTTTCAGACATGATGGACGTCGTCTACGTGGCCCAGATGATCCAGAAGTTTTTGGGTTATGTCGACCAGATCAAAGAGGTGAGATTTGACTGGGCCTCTGGAAAGGACCCCGTTTGCTGAATCCTCTCTACCACCCTGGCCCCTGGGTCCCCAGCCCGCTCCTGCCCCTGGTGACTTCCCTGCCTCCCCAGCTGGCGGAGGTGATGGTGGACATGGCCAGCAACCTGATGCTGGTGGCCGAGCACCTGCTGTGGCTGGCCCAGCGCGAGGACAAGGCCTGCAGCCGCATCGTGGGCGCCCTGGAGCGCATCGGCGGGGCTGCCCTCAGCCCCCACGCCCAGCACATCTCTGTGGTAATGGGGGCTGGCCCGGGAGGGCCCCGTCACCCCGAGGAGGGAGGCGCATCCCGGTCAGGCACACACCTGCCGTGGCCCAGCTAGTTCTGAGCCGTGTGGTCCACTTCTAAGTTGTCCCTGGCAGTGCAAAGGAGAGGGGCCCGTGACCCTGGAGAAGCTGAGCTGGAGGGCTGGCCTGATGGAGTGCACAGGAGGACGGCTGAAAGGGACAGAGGGGCCAGCAGGGGAGCCTGGTGGCAGTAATGGGTGTTCCCTGAGAGGAGGTGACAGCTGCAGTCTGATGAGGTCGTTAACCAGTAACAGCCACGGAAGAGCATCTTCTGCGCGCCAGATACCGTGCACTGCATGGTATATGCTGTACTTTGGGCAGCATAAAGGGGTGCCACATGGAGCCTGCTCCACAGCCGGGTTGGGGTGACAGGGTCACAGGGAAGAGGTGAGTGCAGGAGAAGGTGGGCAAGCGGGAGTCGGCGCCTAGGGAGGAAGGAGAAGGACACTGGAGGCCCCAGGCAGACGCAGGCCTGGCCGGTTCTTGAGAGCACGGTGGGGGGTGCAGCCCCAGGCCATAGGCGCCAGCCTCCAGCGGCACGGTGACAAGATCCCTGCCCACAGAACGCGAGGAATGTGGCGCTGGAGGCCTACCTCATCAAGCCACACAGCTACGTGGGCCTGACCTGCACAGCCTTCCAGAGGAGGGAGGCAGGGGCGCCGGGCACGCGGCCGGGCAGCCCAGGCCAGAGCCCCCCGGCCGAGCCCGAGCCCCTGGCCGATCAGCAGCTCCGCTTCCGCTGCACCACCGGGAGGCCCAACGTCTCCCTGTCATCCTTCCACATCAAGGTGGGCCCTGGGGGAGCGTGGGGGCATGGGAGGGGCGGCAGAGGAGGCAGGAGGAGGGGGCTGGAAGACAGAGACCCCAGGGGTCCCAGTGTCTCTGAGGAGCTCCTGTGTCCCCCCAGAACAGCGTGGCCCTGGCCTCCATCCAGCTGCCCCCTAGTCTGTTTTCATCCCTTCCGGCTGCCCTGGCTCCCCCGGCGCCCCCAGACTGCACCCTGCAACTGCTTGTCTTCCGCAATGGCCGCCTCTTCCGCAGCCACGGCAACGCCTCGCGCCCAGGGGCTGGGCCCGGCAAGCGGCGCGGCGTGGCCACCCCTGTCATCTTTGCAGGAACCAGTAAGGGGCTGAACCCCCCAGCGCCTCCCACGTGCCTGCCCTGCACCCCTGTCCCGCCCTTCCCCGCCCATGGCCCCCCAGTGCCCTAGTGGGATTGGCAGAGGACGGTGGGTCCCTCACCATTTCCCAAGGGGCCTGGGGGGCGGCGATGCCCCACAGGGGAAGCAGTGCCGCGTGGCTGCCGGCTGGAAGCTCAGCACTGTCTCTGGTGTTGGGAGGATGATCATCTGCGTCGTGGTCCTTGCCCCAGAGGCCACCGTCTCACTGAGCAATGGAAGGGTGGGACCTGGGGAGAGGTTCAGGCTTCTGGACAGGCAGCCCAGGTGAGAAGCGTTCTAGAAAGGAAGACGGCTCTGGCCTGAAGCGGGACTGACGCGGGGGAGCCTCGAGGGATGACCAGGACCTCCAGAGACACCAGGGACGGGGAGGCCAGGGCGGGAGGGGTAACGTGAGCAGAGGGGTGGCAGGTGGGAGGCCCGTGTGTCAGACTCCCCAGCCAGCTCGGGGCCTGGCACCCCGAAGCTACATGGGTCACCTACAGCCCCTCTTCAGCCACGCCGCGCTCATGGCCCCACCGTGTGCAGCATCTCTCTCCAGACCAGCTCCCCCACACCTGCCTATCCGAGACTCCACGGTCCCTCCCGCACCCACACTGACAGCAGCCCCAGGCCTGACCGCCGTGCCCCGCCTGGCACAGCCTTCCCTGGACCTGCATTTGCCAGGCCCTCTTCAGTCCAGCCCACACACTGCCACAGATGCACCTTCTCCAAACGTCACTTTGCACGTCAGAGAGCCCCCAACGTCTCCGGTCATTTCCCATCACCAGGACGACCACCTTCCTCCCCGTGCCGTCTAAGGCCCCATGAGATGCGGCTCCACCCGCTTCTCGCAGCCAGAGGCGTTGCCGCCACCAGCTGGGCTCCCTTGCTGTCCTAGGATAGACTCTTGCGATCTGACTGGGAACTGAGTCCCCGTATGTGCCAGACTATGCCGGGGCCGGGACCCACCTGGGCATGGACACTGTGTCCTTGTCCTGGAGGAACACTCACTTCAGCAGAGAGGTCAGGCATTGAACAAGTGCTCGGTAGTGCAGCTGGGTGTCCGCGAGCTGCACGAGGTGTTTTGTAGCACAAGGGATGGCTCAGCCGAGTGAGGGGCCAGGAAGGCCTTTGCCCAAAACCAGGCCCTGAAGGGCCCGTAGCGTTAGCCGAGGAAGGGCGGAGTCCGTGTCAGCGGCCTGGGCTGATAGGAGTGTGTGGGGAGAGGTGGGTGGTTCGTTTGGGGTCTGGTAGCCCAGGCCCCAGGCACATCGACCCTCGCAGCTCCGCCTGGAGCTCCTCTCTCCCTGGGAATGCCTCCTTCTCGTCCTCCCTCTGCCCCCTCCCGACTCCTCCCTGCACCTGGGCTTTGCTCCCTCAACCTTCACTCTGCGCCTCGTCCCTGAGCACCCAGCCCGAGTCCTCTCTCCTTGGAGCAGTCGTCACTACGCATTCAGCACACGGAGTGGGCCGCCTCCCAGGCCTGCGCTTTTCTTCACCCTCCTCACTCACCCCTGTCCGGGGTCCCCATTAGCCCAAGGCTGCACTTGGCCTCTAACTAGACTCCTCCAAGCCACAGGGGGCCTGCCCGGCGGGAGTTTAATGCATGCCCTGGCTGCTGCTGCTGCTGCGTCCCACCCGAGCCAGCCTCCCCGTGCGCGTGTGTGTGGACGTCCCTCTCCCCCTGCAGGTGGCTGTGGCGTGGGGAACCTGACAGAGCCAGTGGCCGTGTCGCTGCGGCACTGGGCTGAGGGGGCCGAACCCATGGCCGCTTGGTGGAGCCAGGAGGGGCCTGGGGGCCCCGGGGGCTGGAGCTCCGAGGGCTGCCAGCTCCGCTCCAGCCAGCCCAACGTCAGCTCCCTGCACTGCCAGCACTTGGGCAACGTGGCTGTGCTCATGGTGGGTGTGTGGGGCCGGCCGGGACCGGGAGGGCGGGGATGAGGGACATGGGGAAGGTGGGGTTAGGGACTCTGATGCCTTGGGTCCTTGGAGAAATACAGAAAGCACAGCAGCCTGGTGGCAGGACTCGTGGGGAGATGGCCCTCTGCTCTCTCCCACACCCCTCCAGCTTTCGGGAGACAGGGAGGGCCTGCCTTCACTCCTACATCCAGATAGGCGGTTCTGGAACCACCCAGCCTGGCCTTCACATGCTGCACTTTCTGAGACCAGATTCTTAAACTGGGGGAAAAGGGACCTGGGGCCATCTCCCCTCTTCCTGGTCATCATGCTCACTGGCCACTGTCCAGCGCCCCTCCCGCCTTCCATCTCGGACCCTGTTCTCCCAGAGACGCAGCAGGCGTGCAGCTGGGTCACAGGCAGAACCTTCTCCCGCCTTCCTCATCTCTGATTTTTCAGGCTGGGGATGTGAAAAGACCCCAGCAAAGCAGGATGGCAGGAGGGAAAGGCAGGCAGTGCTCCCCGAGGCTGACTTCCTTGGAGTGGGCGTCCCGGTGCTCACGTCCCTGCCTGCCTGGAAGCACCGAGCACCAGAGCTCAGGGCCAAGGCTGAGGGGGTGGGGACTGGTGAGGTGTCCATGCTGCTCACTTACTTTCCCTGCCCTTTCCAGGAGCTGAGCGCCTTCCCCAGGGAGGTGGGGGGCGCGGACGCGGGGCTGCACCCTGTCGTGTACCCCTGCACGGCCCTGCTGCTTCTCTGCCTCTTCTCCACCATCATCACCTACATCCTCAACCACAGGTGGGCGCCCCTGCGGGGCCGAGGGCCTGGGCGCCAGCCAGTGGGTCTCACTACGGGATGGCAAGCGCGTCTTCCTGGGTGGGTCCACGCGACTGCCGCAGGCTCTTGCCCATTTGAGGGTTCTGGGGTGGGAAACGCATTGGGGGGATTAGGGCTCTTCCTGCCCTCAGGCCTCTGTCACATTCACACACACACACACACACACACACACACACACACACACACACAGATAGCTGCGGCCCCCCTCTGGCTCTCCCAATGGCCTCGAGACCCCATGGGCCTGACCTGGGGGTGGGTGGCCCATTAATGAAAGACCGTTTCTGGGGCAGCTCCATCCATGTGTCCCGGAAGGGCTGGCACATGCTGCTGAACCTGTGCTTCCACATGGCCATGACCTCTGCCGTCTTTGTGGGGGGCATCACACTCACCAACTACCGGACAGTCTGCCAGGCGGTGAGCAGAAGGGGCTGGGGGCGGCTGTTCGAAGAGTAGTGATGGCAGCCTCGGCACAGGGCAGGGCCCCAGCGCCACTGTGCCAGCCTCAGAGGGCGGGTGGGGGCGTGGCATGGAGAGTGAGAGCAGGGGCGGTAAGAACCAGATCAGAGAAGATGGGAGATGGGCTTCAAGGTGGAGAGGCGTCAGCCAGATAGCAATGGTGGGGTCCTGGAGAATCCTTGGGGTGGGAGGGAAGCCTGGGGTGGCCGCAGCAGGGATGGAAGCTTGGCCTGTGGGTGGTGGGCTGGGCAGAGTGAAGGAGCCGTGGGGTTGGTGGCTGGGACCTGGGGAGAGTGGGACAACGCCAGCAGGGCTGAGGCTCTGGGAGAGCCCAGGCGTGGCAGCCCAGGTCCTCCAGCCTCAGTGCCTTGGCCCGCAGGTGGGCATCACTCTGCACTACTCTTCATTGTCCACACTGCTCTGGATGGGCGTGAAGGCCCGAGTCCTCCACAAGGAGCTCACCTGGAGGGCACCCCCTCCACAAGAAGGGGACCCTGCCCCGCCTGCTCCCCGGCCCATGCTCCGGTACGTACTATCAACTGTCAGCTTTGCAAGCGGGGAGGGACTCAGGCAGGTGCAGGGTGGGTTCAAGGACCCTGGGAAATTGCTGTCAAAGACAGAAGAGCCAAGGCCTTCGATGCAGCCAGCTTACACAAGACCATGGAGTGGGTGCATCTTGCCAGCTTTCTGGGGATGCCAAGGCCAGGGAAGGAGGTGACTTTTTGGAGGGCATTGACTGGGGATCCCAGGAACCTGAGTGGCACCCCTGACTTCTGCATTGTTTAGGGTGAGAGAGTAATTCTGGCCTCTGTCCCTTAGAGCAGTCTTGGCCAAGTCCCCGAGAGATGAACAAGGCCTGCCCTATAGAAGCCTTGCATCCCTAGCTAAATACTGTGACAGAAATTAAAGAGGGAAGAGGATGGGACAGAGACAGCGAGTCAAGGGCTCTGAGCACATGGTTCTTCCCTTGCCGTCTCTCTGACCCCAAACCCCACTCCCTCCAGGTTCTATTTGATCGCCGGAGGGATTCCACTCATTATATGTGGCATCACGGCAGCTGTCAACATCCACAACTACCGGGACCACAGCCCCTAGTGAGCGCTGCTGCCTCCTGCCCCAACCCTGCCCACCTGGCACCGGATGCCTTGTGCTTCATTGGCAGGGACACCTGCCAGGGTCCACCAGCCACAGCCCACCCAAGCCCCTGCATGTGGACTAAGCCGGTCTCTGCCTCTGCACACCCTATCCTGTCTTCCCCGCCACCCCTGCCTGTGGGCCCCACCTCCGACGGGCCGCTCCCCACCCACTGCCTCTCTCCGCAGCTGCTGGCTGGTGTGGCGCCCAAGCCTAGGAGCCTTCTACATCCCCGTGGCTTTGATTCTGCTCATCACCTGGATCTATTTCCTGTGTGCAGGGCTGCGCTTACGGGGTCCCCTGGCACAGGGCCCGAAGGGGGGCAACAGCAGGGCCTCGCTGGAGCCAGGGGAGGAGCTGAGGGGTCCCGCCAGGCTCCGGAGCAGCGGCCTCCTCTTGAGTGACTCAGGTTCCCTTCTGGCTGCTGGGAGCGCAGGGGTGGTGACGCCCGGGCCCCCGGAGGATAGTGACGGCCTCTACTCTCCGGGAGTCCAGCTGGGGGCGCTGGTGACCACGCATTTCCTGTACCTGGCCCTGTGGGCCTGCGGGGCCCTGGCCGTGTCCCAGCGCTGGCTGCCCCGGGTGGTGTGCAGCTGTCTGTACGGGGTGGCGGCCTCCGCCCTGGGCCTCTTCGTCTTCACCCACCACTGTGCCAGGCGAAGGGACGTGAGGGCCGCCTGGCGCGCCTGCTGCCCGCCCGCCTCGCCCGCGGCCTCCCACGCCCCGCCGCGGGCCCTGCCCGCCGCCCCCGAGGACGGCTCCCCGGTGTTCGGGGAGGGGCCCCCCTCCCTCAAGTCCTCCCCGAGTGGCAGCAGCGGTCCCGCGCCGCCCGCGGGCCCCTGCAAGCTCACCAACCTGCAGCTGGCCCAGAGCCAGGCGTGCGAGGCGGGGGCGGCCCGCGGGGACGGGGAGCCGGAGGCCGCGGGCCCGCGGGGGAGCCTGGCCCCCCGCCACCCCAACAACCTGCACCAGGGGCGGCGGGCGCACAAGAGCCGGGCCAAGGGGCACCGCGCGGGGGAGGCCGGCGGCAAGAACCGGCTGAAGGCCCTGCGCGGGGGCGCGGCGGCCGGGGCGCCCGAGCTGCTGTCCAGCGAGAGCGGCAGCCTGCGCAACAGCCCGACCGACAGCTGCGCGGGCAGCAGCCGCCACAGCCCGGGCGCCGGCGCCCCGCTCGAGGCCGAGCCCATGCTCACGCCGTCCGAGGGCAGCGACACCAGCGCCGCGCCGCTCCCCGAGGCGGGCCGGCCGGGCCAGCGCCGCAGCGCCAGTCGCGACAACCTCAGGGGCGGGGGCGGCGCGCTGGAGAAGGAGAGCAAGCGCCGCTCGTACCCGCTCAACACCGCCAGCCTCAACGGCGCCCCCAAGGGCGGCAAGTACGACGACCTCAACATGACGGGCGCGGAGGCGGCCGGCGGCGGCTGCATGAAGACCGGCCTCTGGAAGAGCGAGACCACAGTCTAGGGCGGGGCGGGCGATCCTCAAAGACGTCGCTCGGTACGTCAACAGGCGTGAGGCGGAGGTGCCCAGGGCTGCACCTGGGCTGGCCAGCATTACCCGGGAGGCTGGGGCAAGGAGATGGGCACATGTTCGCCACTCGCCTAGAGGGCGTCCCTCTGGGCAGCGACAAACTCAGAAACAGGAAAGATACGTTTCCGTCCAGCCCAGCCCAGTTTGACAGCCCAGTTATCGGTGCCCTCCTAGGTAGGGGGGAAGTCCTCCATGGGGTAACCCACGACCAGAGTGAAAGGGCACAGCACAGCCCAGGTGGGCCCCCCCCACCTACTCCCACCCCCGGCCGCCCCTGCCTCGCCGGTGGACGTCAGCCGTGCCAGGAAAGCACCGTGGAGAGCTTCGGAACCGTGGTCTCTCCTCTGTGCCCTCTGATGAAGTCAGCCCCATCGGTGCCCAGATCCTAAGCCCTCTCTCCTCCTGGTTTGGCTGACATGAGAGCGGCCTAGCAGATGAGCCAGGTGACTAGGACAATGGGAGGCAACAGGTGCTACTTTTCTGACCAACTATGCAAGAGGGGAAGCTGGGGCAGTGTGAAAGGCAGCTCTGAGATCAACTAGTCCTGGGGGGGAAGGGCGCACAACTAGGGATAAAGCCACCATTCCCACAGGAGTGGTACTCACGCCATGCAGCGGGGCTCAGAGGTGGCACATCAGGACAAAGTCTAGGCCCTGTACCTAAGAAGCTGACTCTGCCAGGTGTCTGAGGGTGACCCGGGGGAAGCAGGAGCAGCTGGTACTTGCAACTAGGGCAGAATCTAGTCATGCCCTAAACCTAGTCCTGTAAAGGACGCTCTGAAAAGCAGCTCCACCATAAGGCTGCAGGTGGTGTTCGGAGACGCACTTACTGTTCCATTACAAGATCCACTTCCTGGATCTCAGCCTCCCGTCACTAGGGACTAAGGAATAGCACTCCCTTGCCTCCGTGAGGCCATATGAAAGAACCATCCCGATATTGTGATCTCTAGCCCCACAGTAGGGAGAAACCTCCACAATGTCAAACCAGCTTCCTGACTCCCAGAAGCCGAGCAGAGCCGAGCCCTGAGGCGGTGGCTAAGGTCCCTGCAGATCGCCAGAGGCCTGTGCCCTCACTGCTATTAAACACCAGCACCCATATCTTCCCCAACCTAAAACACCACCACCAGCCTTTGTCTACAGGACCGAATGGAAGTGGAGGGAACCCTGGGTCTTGGGAAGAGCAACAGGAACCCCAGGTCTGGTCCAGGTCCCCTCCCAGTCTTCATGTCACCCCGGCCTGCTCACCAAGGTGAAAGAAGACACGGGAGGGGAGAAAACCCACACTTCTTGGGACGGGTCCTGTTATTTATGCTTGCTGCACAGACGATATTAGAAAAAAAAAAAAAGCTTTGTATTATTCTTCCACGTACGCTGGCTGCTGTTTACATACCCTGCCGATGCCTTAGCACTGGAGAGCTTTTTGCAATACGCTGGGGAATGGGGAGGGAGGGACTGGAAAGTGCCAAAGAAAACATGTTTTTAAGAGCTTGGGTTTTATACAATAGAATGTTTTCCAGCAGATGCCTCTTGTTTTAATATATTAAAATTTTGCAAAGCCCTTTGAGCTACAGCCTTAGTCCACCCACAGTCCTTTTGTTACAAGGTGGAGGATCTCATGACACCATACACACAACCCACCAACACCGGCAAATGGACACAGGGCCAAGAATTCTCCAGTTCCTGCTCCTCTGTGGGCTGACACCGTTGGGAATGCCAACTGCTCCACAGGCAGAGAAAAGCCCATCGGGCCTAGAGAAGCGTCAGCAGCATGTCCCAATCAGACCAGGAGCAGGAGAGCCTGACATTTTCCCAGAGGTCTAAGAGGAAAGCCATCCCACAAAAATGAACATATGCAACTTGTTCTCGAGCACCCAGGGATGGGACTCTCTCCAACCCAGTCATCCCTGCACTCCTGACTTTACTCCAGGACCTAGGGCCAAACTATTTGCAGAGCCCCTCTTGGTTCCTTCAAAGAAAGACAGTACCTAAGGACTGTGTACACCTATTTCCTTGGATGTGACAGGCCTGTTACCAAGCTGCTGTCAGAACGAGGTGAAGTGTCCCCAACAGATGTGCATCAGCGAGGGTTAGGAACACTGGTGGCAGCCTGCCCAGCAGCTTGGGCTCTCTGAAAGTCCCTAACTTCCTGAGGGGTACGCAAATACTGCTCAATTTCACTATCAGAAATGCTCTCGTCTCCAGTGACAGTGGAGACAGCGGGTGTGGGACAGATCCGCTTCCGGGGCTTCAACATGCAGGGTGGGAGGAGAAGGGCAGGACTGGCCGGTCGCTTCCCCTGGGGCAAACCTAAGGAACTATTCCCCACCTCTTCCCCCTGCCCCCGCCCCTGCAGCTCCTTCTCCTGGGTCTCCATTTCTGCCGTGCCCTCCCGAAAGGCCGTGCGGACCAGTGTGTGGCGGTGCTGGAGGAGGTCACCGATGTGTTTCACCACCGACCGTTTGTCAAGTTTCAGAACCTGCAGCCAGGCCAGCTGCTTAGCCATCCGCAGCAGCACCGCCAGCAGCTCCTGCAGGCGGGTGGAAGCGGGGTGGGGCAGGTCCACGTTCGCCAATTTACAAAATTGGGCGAGGGAACACGACAGCCGATATGAAGGCTGCAGGGACTGCCAAGCCAGGAAAGTGGCAGCAGTGATGACAGGCAAGGGATGCCGCCCGGTCACCAGCCACGTCTCGTCTGCCAGCTCCACCAACTGCAGTGTTCGCGACAGCATCTTCTCTTTGTCCTCCACGTATCTGGCTGGCACAGACGGGGAAGCTTGGAACAGTTTGAAGCTGAAACAACCAAAATGAGCGTTGAGTCTCAATGACTATGAGGGTGAGGAAGGGCAGTCCACTCAAGATGGGGCAGCTATTCTGTCCTCTTGGGAACACTCAGGCTCACTGGGCAGCAAGTTCATAGAGACACCGAGAGAAAAGAGGGCGAGTCTTCTGCTAGTTAGAGGAAGGGCAGGAGAATGCAGAAGATCGCTCATGTGTTGAGCATCTCCCTACCAGCCATTATTCCGAGCACGTTACACTGTCCTCGTTTAATCTACATGCAAATGCACCCTTCCATGTGCACTTAGAGTTGAAAAATTTGCCCACCCACCTAGGAAGTAACCAAGCTTCAAATCCAAGGCTATTTGCTTTCTACTACATTTGTCAGAAAAAAGAAAAGGCTTAGCTTCAAACCCCAGTTCTGTCATTAACTAATACCCTTTCAGCTCCTTCACAGATGAGCCTGCTGCGGCAGGGCCGGGGCACACAGCTACATGGGCCATGTGCAGCACAACTCCAGGAACTGCCATTCCTGGAGCATATGACACGAGTGGTACAACAGCCTGTGCCCAGGCTAATAGCTACTTTCCCCAGCTCATTAGGTTGCTAGGAGGGCAAGGGATTTGAAAATTCTAGCATTCTAGAAATAAAAACTGATATTAACCTTATTAATATAAGCATAAAATAGAATAGATCTTTGTCACAAATCCTTTTAGAAGGGCTTTGGTCAGAAAGACTCATCCAAAGGTCAAAGGATTCAGGTCTAAGGAGCCCTCCCATCCCAGTGTCTCCCACTAGGCAGGTACCTGCTACAATAGGTCTTCACCAGTTCTGCCAAGCACAGAGATGGCACATCCAGCCCCAAGAGCTTCACTAGCTTCATGTAAGCGCCAGAAAACACATCCAAATCTGCATACAGCAGCGTGCAGATGGTTCCCATGGTGAGGGGCCAGTTATGCTGCCGGCAGGTGATTAAGACACAGCACCCAACCAACACCTCCTTCTTTTGCAGCCTGGCAGCTCGGATGCCGGAGTGCTGGTATGCCTTTTGGTAGTAAGCAACTGCCGTGTCCTCAAACGTTGGTGGCAATTGCAGAACTCGACAAAGGTCTCTTACTCGGCGGAGACCTAGGAGAACGCACAGCAAGAGTTACAGGGGTCGAAGGAGCTACTGTGCTGCTCCTAGAAAGTTCTGCCAGGACTTAGTTTAGTTCTGCTCAACTTGCCTCAGATGCACAAATTTTGTACCCTTCTGCATTGACAGGAATGACAGTTGGTGTGCTCATTCTAAAGGCACAAAAACATTTGTAGAAAGAGGTCACATTTCAGCCCACCATTTTTCTGGAGGCTGATTTGATTCACGGCCTAGCCAAAGCTTTATCCAGGCTCCTTGAGGCTACCTCAGACACACCCCTGAGCAAACACAAACCTTATACTGAATCGCTACCTCTCCCAGAACCATCCCCACTGTTTATTTCTAACTACCATTCTCTTCTCTACCTTATACCAGTAACGCTGAAAACAGGAAAAGCAAGCAGATGTACTGTATGATCAGGATAATTTTCTTTAAAGCCACTGTGTTGTAATAGTTCGATTCTCACCTCGTTGTTCGCTGCGACTGACTTGTTCATTTTCCCCTGTGCTTCGGGAATATGTTACTTCTGTAAGATAACGAACAACAAATAGCGTGCTTAGCCTTTATTCACCAGACCCCTGTCCTCCTACCACACAAGGCCAGGGAGCAAAATTCAAATCAGTGAGCATCTGCTCCCTGTCCCACAGATGGTGCCCATCTATGCACAGTTAAAGGCCCATCTGGTTGTATATGTCCACAAGCAGTATCAAATACGCAGAGATTGAGAAAGGTTAAGACTGCACTAGAGCAGCTCCAGGTATTCCAGATTTTCAGTCATCCCTCCTGTACATTCAATCCAGGCAATTTTCCTGGCTGTGGATTTTGAGGGCTGCACTGGTCAGGAACTTGGAAAATAAAGAACAAAAAAGATGTTGGCCAGGTGTGGTGGCTCGCGCCTATAATCCTATCATTTTTGGAGGCAAGGCAGGAGGACTGTTTGAGGCCAGGAGTTCCAGACCAGCCTGAGCAAGAGACCCTGTTTCTACATAAAAAATAGAAAAATTAGCTGGATATGGTGGCGTGGCCTGTAATCCCAGCTACGTGGGTGGCTGAGGCAGGAGGATCGCTTGAGCCCAGCAGTTTGAGGTTGCAGTGAGCTAGGTTGCACTCTAGCCCAAGCAGCAGAGCAAGAACCTGTCTCAAAAAAAAAAAAAAAAAAAAAAAGATGTTTTGCCAATCAGTGCCAAAAACTATTTCTATATTCTTAAAGAACTGACCCACAATCCTTCCACCATGACCAGATCAGGCAAGGTGAGTGGAATTTTCTCTCTCTCTCATTTATTCAACATTCATTATGCCCACGATATATGCCAGATATTGTACTAGG